TGCTGTCGCTGTCGGCGCTGGGCTCGCAGGCGCACCTGTCCAAGGAGGACAAGAACGGCCACGACGGCGACGCGCACCCCGACGACGACGGCGACAAGTCCGACTAGCGGGGCGGGACGCGGGGACGCGGGGGACACGGGGGGCGGCGGGGACACCGGGGACACCGAGGCAGGCCCAGCCCCCCCCGCACTCGGCTGGGGAGGCGAAGCCCACGGGCGGAGGTGGGGGGTCCAGGGACCCGGCACCCCGCAATCCACACTCCCACCGCCGGGCACCGTCGGGGTCGCCCAGGGCGCCCCCACCCCAGGCCCTGCATGGAAGCCGCGGAGCTCCCCCCCCCCCGCACCCCGGACCCCGCACCCCCCCCTCTGCCAGCTTCTGACGCAGCGCCCCTCCCCCGGCTCCCCCTCCCCGCAAAACAAAAGGGATGGGGCCCTGCCCCCCTCCCCAATAAAATGAGGGTTCTGAAGGTCTCGGTTTCGTTGGTGGTTTTTCTCTTCTCCTGCCCCGCACTCGCCTCTCCCGCCCCGCCACCAGCCCGGCCTCGCCCAGACACGCTGTCTTGTTTTCTTTTGAAGTGAACCCCACAAGCCCCCCAGTCTCCCCTGTACCTGTCCCCGCGTTGTGCGTCTCATCGCTGCCACGTGGAAGTCTGTACTGACGGCGGGCTTCGCTGTGCCTTGCAAATAAACATCCCGAAGGTTGGCCTCCGTGTGTGTCTGTTGAGGGGACCCCCCTTCCCCAGGGTGGGGGGCTCCCGCTGCCCGGCATCCTCCAGGACACAGCACACCCCCCAGACTTCAGCGTGTTGTCTCCTTTGCCTTTGAAACCTCACCCAGAGAAGGTGTTCTGGAGACAGGGGGTCGGTCACACAGCACCAAGTTCAGCCAGACTTTTTCTTGCCTTTTTTTGGTTGGTCGTGGGGCCTGAACTCTGGGCCTGGGCGCTGCCCCTGAGCTCTTCAGCTCAAGGCGACCGCTCTGCCACTGGAGCCACAGCGCCACTTCCAGTTTTCTGGTGGTTTATTGGAGATAAGAGTCTCACAGATTCTCCTGCTTAGGCTGGCTTTGAACTGTGATCCTCAGATCTCAGCCTTCCTGAGTAGTAGCTAAGATTTCAGGCGTGAGCCACCAGTTCCTGGCTTTTTGTTATTTGCTGGTTAATTAATGAGATGATGGAGTCTTCAGAACTGTCCTGTCCACGCTGGCTTCCAACCTCAGTCCTCCAGATCTCAGCCTCCTGAGTCACAAGGATTACCGATGTGTATAAGAGACCCGGCCTCCAAAAACAGCCAGGCTGACACACGCAGCACATCTGCCGCAGCCTCCCCAGTGCTGGGATTACAGATGTGCACGGCCACACCTGGCTCTAGGGACCATTTTTAGAGACAACTCCTGCATCTGTTTCCCCCAAGGGCACAGCCTCCCTGCGATTCATTCCAGCGGCCCACCCTGGAGGGGGCCCCAGAACACCCCTGTGGGAACAGCTCTGCCTCCAGGGCCTGGGCCACTGGACCTGAGGCTGCCCATCCGGGAAACGGGGTGCAGGGCCTAGGAGCCCCTGCCATGGTGGATGGGCATCAGACTGGACTGAGACCTGGGGGGTATGCCCCCCCCCACAGCCCAAATGCGTGAACCGCGTGGGACGCCCAATAAACCACCAGAAAACAGGACATGGCGCTGGGGCTCAAGTGGTGGAGCGCTCGCCTTGAGCTGAAGAGCTGAGGGACAGCGCCCAGGCCCAGAGTTCAAGGCCCACGACCGACCAAAACAAGCTGCTGTGTGTGAGGCCCTGGGTCCCATCCCCAGCACAGGTGAAGATGGCCCGTGGCCTGGCCCTGCGGTCAGGCTCCGGCTCTGACCAGCTGTCACGACCAGCTGATTCCATCAGGAAGAAGCTGCTCACGTTCTAATAATCCACACGCTCTGCCAGTCGCTCATCCATCTTTTGTCCCGTCCAGTCTGAGCCCTTGGCCTGGGCGCCGTCCCTCAGATTTTCCCCTCAAGGCTGGCGCTCCACCACTTGAACCGCGGAGGCGCTTCGGCTTTTTGGTGGTTCAGTGGAGATGAGAGTCTCACGGGCTTCCCTGCCCGGGCTGGCTTCCAACCGTGATCCTCAGACCTCAGCCTCCTGCGCATGGAGCTGGGGTGACGGCGTGCGCCTCGGCCCCTGGGCCCTTCACAGCCCGGCTGGGCCGAGACCTGCCCAGCGCCTCCCTGGCCAGCGTGGGTTCGGATCCTGGCTCTGCTTCGCACGCGGGCGTCATGGTGGGGCGTGGGGGGGCACCCAGGACGCCCCTCTGTGGGGCTCTGACCCCTACCCCTTCCCCCCTGCCCCTCCCACCCCCCTCTGCCCTTCCCCCCAGCCCATTAGGCCCTGCAGGGACAGCGGCTAATTGATGCGCTAATGAGCCCGTGGTGCGGCCTAATGAGGCAGTGGGAGGAGGGGAGGGCAGGGAGGAGGGGTAGGCCTGGGAGGGGGGAGGGGGAAGGAGATCTGGGAGGGGAAGGGGGGAGGGCTGAGAGGGGGGAGGGCTGGGGGAGGATGGTCTGGGAGGGGGGAGGGCTGGAAGGAAGTCTGGGAGGGGGAGGGCTGGGGGAAGGGCTGGGAGGGGGTAGAGAGGGGAGCTGGGCTGGGGGGGAGGGGCAACTCCTGACCCCTTCCCTGGGTCCCACCTGGACTGGCAGAGGGGAGGGCACATCCGGGGCCCCGCCTCCGACCCCCCCCTCACTCCCTGGTCCCCGCCCCTTCCAGGTGTGCTCCCACCCCAGGCCGCTCCCCCCACACCCTCAGGGGGCGCCTCAGGGCGTGCAGGCCCACAGCCCTTCCCTCCCCGGTGCAGATACGCGGGCAGCACGGCCTCGGCTGGGGGCCACCCTCTGCTCAGGGGCTGCGGTGCTCCTGTCGCCTCCTAGACAAACTGGGGCATCCAGGCCAATCTCGAGAAAGCAGAAGAGCCAGCCGCCCGCCGTTGGCTGGGCACGGCCGCTTGGGCCCCGCTGTGGTTAGTAATGATTTATTATGACATTATGAACGGAAGCCCAGAGATGCCACGCAACTTGTGAAAGGTCACACAGCCTGGCCGTCGGGATCCAATGAAGATAAGACCAGTCGGTGTACAAGAACACATGAGGAGTTTGTGTACTCAGTGATGGACGGAAGAGGGGGGACTTGAAGGACAGGGGGACCCACCAGGGTCTGGAGGCCAGCCAAACGGTGAGGATGGGCGCCCTGCCCTGCCTTTCTCTTGGCTTCTTTGTTCCTGACTGTGACCCCGTGACCCGGTATGGACCAGGCCTTCTGGCTGGCACACACTGTTCCTGCAGCCCGCGCTCCTCCCCACCAGCCCCTGCCTGCAGTCTTTTCTCTCTTCTGTGGTGCCTCTTTCTGCACAAAACAGTCAAACATTCATTGCTTTGAGCTCCCCCGTGGCTCACGCCTGTCATCCTAGCTACTCAGGAGGCTGAGAGCTGAGGATCACGGTTCAAAGCCAGCCTGGGG